AATCTTTTATTAGCTCTTCCTCTCTCTCTTTTTCTCTTGTATTTTGTTGTTGTTTTTGTGTGTATTAAGCATCAGATTTGCTTCTCTATTTATAGGGGAAGATTGCACAATTATTCCACATCCGTGTGCTTAAATCCTTCAACAAAGTTGTGCTGATTTTGTTTTCAACCGGGCTGCTGAGCAATCATTTTTCTTATTTTGGTTGTTGTCAGAGAAAGTGGGCGCAGCCCCTTTTTGAATTAACACATTTGAACCCCTTACCCTCCAATACATAGCATGAAAAGACCAACCTACAGATGCATAACTAAAATCAGAGGCAAGCACAACTTCAGTCAACTGGCCAAAGGACCTAAGCTTCATTTGTGTCTGCTTGTTTCTATGTCAATCAGAATCCATCTGGAGATCAGCTGCATCCAATGAACTCCAGTTAGTCTACCGTTGCTAGTTTGATTACCTCATCTTATGTTCTCCTTCTTGAAAGAGCCATAGGTTTATTGCCTTCCATCACCACAAGATGTATGTGGATAACTGAATATTGTGTTCTGCAATCTCCTTCATGTCCAGTCCGGTCGGGATGACCGAACAAATAACGGGTCGTACGGCTAGCCGAGTAGAACGCGGACTAGTCCGTACGACACGAAAAACCGGACGTGCGAGGTCCGTGCGGCCGTACCAGCCGGACGCCATTTAAGTTGTCCGGTTCCGACGGTTGGACACGACCAGTCACGTCCGGTTTCGGCGGTTGGACGGCAAATAAAATTACCTCGGAACTAGAAGATATTTCTCTCTTCTGAGATTTTAGAACAAATGAAAAGGATAAAATCGTCCAAATGTGGCAATGACTAATAATATGGGGGCGGTAAATAGTAATGCCATGATCAAAAGACTTTGAAGAGCTAGTTTGAGGTCCAACCGAACATGAAACTTGCTTGCCCTAGTTGGGTAACAAATAATCTCAATACAATGATTCAAAATAAACTAAAATTACACTGCCCAACCTTACAGGTGGCAATGGGAACAAATAACAAGATCTTTATATTAGAAATTACTACCTCTTTTTTTAAATAAATGTCGTTTTGACTTTTTTGATTCATCCATTTTGCTATGTATCTAAACATTAA